ACAGAGCCCAGAGACCTTCTTCTGACCATTCAAATGCAACTTTTCCGCCATGGAACTGTCAACACATTTATTGCCAAAATTTTTATCTTTGTCTCTGCACAGCTTTGATCCAAAACTTGCAGGCATCAGTGGCTACCTTTTCTCTTTTGACAGTAGCTTTTTTTTTCCAGTTTTAATAAAGTTTTAGTTCATCTATTGCATGCTGCACGATTTTATTTGCCATCCACATTACAGTTCTCCACTTCCCTCCATTACTGAATATCTCAACTGGGGAGATTCTTATGTGTGTTGTACATCATTATGGAAAGCTAAAACAGTTAGCAGTATCTTATATCAGTAGTCTTCATATTTTGAGGACTGAACAGTTGATTCACTTCACGCAAAAGTGGAGTTCATTTCATCTGATGGTACACAGCTGTGTACATTTCTGTCTGAATTTTCAAAAGAGTGACAGGTAATATGAGATGTCCCCACTTAAGACATCTTTATAGAGAGTTTCATCATCTAGCAGGGCAATTACTGTATATTTTCTGAAAATAAAATCTATTGCAAGGGATAACAGGCCCTCTGGAATGTCAAAGGTATGAACACATGCCACTTTGAAAATGTAGAGTAGGATTCCCAACTTAGGATGATTTTTATTGCTCCTTTGTTGCCAGTGAGCCTGTGTTGATTTACACTTGCCACAAATCCCAATTCTCTCTTTGAAGGATTGTACGAAAGAGAATGTCCGTTAGTGGAAATGTATTTTGGAGATATTTGGTCTTCTTTTCTATGGAGTTTTCACTGAATTGAACAACTAATAATTGGAAAACAGGAGTGAACTCCTAGCAGCATTCAAATAGTAGCAGAGAGCTCCTTGCTATTTCACTGGCTACATCCTAAAAATTGTTTACATGAACTTTTGATAAGGATGCTTAGTTGATGTCATAACTTTTTTGTCTAACTTCCATATCAGAACTGATAGCTTTGGAAGCATAGAGAGTTTTCTCTCTCTTTCTCTGTCTTTCCTTTTTTTTTTTAGTTACCAGCCCTGCAAGGTTATTCAGAATTTCAAAAGCGAAATCTTACTTCTTTTCCTTTCATGACACCGAGAGCAAGGCAGATGATGCTGCTGGGATTTCTTAGATAATGTGATATTTATGATCTGGAAGAGAATTTATTTTACTCCTCAGTCTTTGTATTAATAAACATTAATAGCTCCATCCCAAGGATGTGATCCAAAAATTAATGTTCTTTGTCGCTGCCAGGGTCTCAGGTATCTCTATCTCACATAGACAGAATGGTCATTCCATAGCTGAATGAGGAATAATCCATATGTATATGCATCTACAAAAATCCCTGGCTATGTAAATACAGTGCAGCCAACGAGCAAGGCTAGAAACTGGGAACCTTCTAAACCAAGATCACAAGCCTTAATCACCTGAACACCATGAACTACTCTGTTAGCTGTAAGCTGCAGGCAGGCTCTTAGGCTCACTGTGAGCCAAGGATGAGACTGGGACATGATAGCAGTGCTCTGCCAGAATATTACATGCTCCCTAAGGCAAAGTTTATCCCAGCTGGCTGATGGGAGTTCAAGTCCCATGAGGAATGCCAACGTTTAATGAGTCTGTTGACATGTATTTATAAAGCTGCCAGAAGTTGCCAGTGGGGATAGAGCCCCAGCTTTCAATATTGAAAGCACAAGCCCGTGCTACTCGAGCTAATGGGGTTTCTTACCACCACAGAAGATGCTCGTATAGAAATGCCCTCTGGCTACCAGTTCATTATGAGGCCATAATTAAGTAGAATAAAGATTCAAATATAAACTTAATCCTTGCAAGCATAAATATATATTGGTTTGGCAGGAAAAGAAGGGAGTGCGAAAATTTGGCCCTCAGTATTGTAAAATGCTACCATATACTATCATTTTATTGCATGCTTGCATTCAGTAAGCAATTTAAGAATGCAGAGCTCAGATTCTGCTGTGCTAGATGCTTTAATAATGTGTGTAGTCGGAACTTTTAAAAACATTTAATTATATAACACCACTTATGTGTATGGGTCTTTCCGAATGAAAAAGAAATCAGGGTTCTGAGTCCAAAGATCATACAACTAACTAAAATATGAAAAAGAATGACACCAGTTCCCATAAGAAAAGAAAAATAATGTATTCAGGGAAGCGGAAAGCATTATTTGCACGATAACCAGAGTTCCTGACCTGTTTCTTAACTTTTTGCCTTTTTTTGAAATGAAGAAAAAAGTATGGATGAGGTGCCAACTGCAGAGCAGCAATTCATGATAGAGGGCAAACTTCAAGGAAAGATTTGAATAAATAAATTTCTCAATACATAGAAAAAAATATTTGTCGGTCAAAGTTCCTGCCGTAGGCAGACAGAAGCAGTAAGAAAAGCATCAAACGACGAGAAGATAAAATAAAAATGTGATGTGTACAGATAAAATCAAGAGTATTTTGAGAGCACAGCACATCGCTAATAATAAATATTGAGAATTTGAAATAGATGCTAGCTATGAAAGAAATTGTTCCAAGAGATGTGTAAAGATGTGCCGTCCGAGCAATGGGATAAAAAAGTGTTCCTAACGGCATTTTGAATATGCTGATGCACTTAGCAGAGATCCCAAAAGAAAGTTGCTCAGAGAATGAAAATTTAGGTGGGGAAAAATGAAAGCACAAACTTGAGCTTCGCAGTGAAGACAGAGCAAAAGCAAAGCCACAGAATTTGTAAGAAGAAATAAGAAATAACACAGAGAAGCAGAAATGACACAGAAGTCTTAAGTCTGCTGTGTATATAATTGTAGGCTGGATAGATCTGGAAACTAGTTTTTGTTAGCCACAGACGAAAGCAAATCACTTGTGACTGTTGCAATTCTCTGTTTCTATATGCAGAATACCTAATTCATGTCAGAATGTTTTACTCTATTGAATCAGGAGTATGAACTGTGAACCGTATTTGGGACTTTGTCTTCGACAAATTAAAGAACAAATCTACGGATGGGAATTTGAAAAACATTTGTATTTGTCAAATGCTGTTGCAGCTGAAATGAAGAGTAAAGCTCCATTTCCTTTTAGTGGGAGCAAAGGCAGACTGATACTGAACACTTCAAATAGTTCACCAGGATGTTTTTGCATACCAGTTCTATTATTAAAATACAGCTTTGAAAATTGGTGGTGCTGTTTAAGGTGTTACATTGATACTTTCTAAACAACAGAGACATAAAATGAGGTATACAATTTGCTGCTTACTGGTGTCCCCAAAACCTTTAGATGATGCCATAGTTTGTTCCTTATATGCTACATAGCATAAAGAAAAACAATGTGACTGTGTACCTTTTGCTTCAATTCTACTTGTTACATGTTTGAAATAAATAGGCTATTTTGCACTGAAACTAGACTGTGTGATTTAGCTGACCCTTACTCTGCACATGTGAGGATCAACTAGCCAGAGGTCCTCTCTTCATTTGAAAGCTAGGTTTTAAAATAAGCAAGTGCCACTTCTTGTGTTAAATCAGGCTATTAAGTCCATATATCCAGAATTAACTCATTCTAAATTGACCAACATTTCAGCAGAAAGCCTTATTCTGAACCCTGTGACATATCTAGGAAACACACCAAGAAGAAGGTGGGAAGAAAAATGTGTCTCCTGGCTTGTATCTCCATTTCCGTGTTGAGTCTCAAATCACCAGCTATGGAATGAGAAAAACTTGACTCAGCTGGTGTAAATGAACCCAGCTTCGTTGCCTGCCCTTGGACTATGCCAGTTCTTATCCGTTGAAGCATGATTTCCATAATGGTGACTCATGTTTTTTCTTTTATCTTTATTTTAACTTCATACAAAATCAGCACATTAGGCTTTGTTTTCTTTGATGAGCAAATGTGGGTAGGAAATAATGAGAAGTTACTAATGTATTTATTATTAACAGAGCCATTAAGCCCCTTTGAACATGTGAAAAAGGTGGCTTGTAGGTGTGGACTTTGGCAACATTCTGAAAAGGGCAAGGACCATTTGTTTCTAGAGATATTTGACAAACTAAACCTTCAGTTTTTATTTCTCTCTTACTAAGTAAATTTTCTTCCTTTTAATCTTTTAATTCTCTCTCTCTGACACTGTAGTCTTTTCTTTTTTTCTGCTTAGAAATATGAAGAAATGGACAGGTCAAAGTTGAGATCATTTGTGGGGCTTAGTCAGATTGTAAGTCCCAGTATAGTCCTTTCATCTCTCCTGAACACAGACTGGGTATTGTATGAAGTTCTTGAACTGTAAATGACTTTAAATTCACTCTAGTCGACAAGGGTGAGAAGAAATCGTTTAACTTTTAATAGACTTTCGGGGACAAATGAGCAGCTGGTTGAGATGGAATAAGAAATGACCCTTACCATTTCCTCAAACGCGAATTCAATCTTTGAGGTTTTAAATAATGTGGTTAACTTTTTCCTTCCCAGGTTCTGTTCCTCTCTGTTTTCTTGACTTACATGAAAAGTGAGGGGAGGGATATGAAAAACGACTGAAGAAAAGGCTTTTCTGGGTCTTGCTGCATGGAAAATTATGAAAGAAAGTCACTCCTAAAATCCATGTTAGATCTCTAGAATGGGAACAATCGTTTTCTGCTTTGGATGACTGTCTGATATCAAACAGAATACAAAAAGGCTTATGTAAATTAGTGTACCTCTCATGAAATGGATGAAACCATGATGAGGATCTGGGCCTCATGCTTTGGTTTTGTTCGTACATGGAAAGCACTTTGCATGGACATCCCATGCTTTACAGTTCTTCCAATTTCTGTATGCTTGGGCTTGAAGAGCTGTTTGAGGGGGCAGTAACTAGAGCTCTTAACTAAGTCAAATCACTGTGGTCTAGCAGTTCTGCTAACCTGCTTTTGCTTAAGCTTTTGAAGTGAAGAGTAAGCTCTTACATCAAATACAGTTTTTAGCTCTTGAGATTGCAAAATATAAAATAATTAATTGTCAGGATGTATATGTCTCTCTTTTTTTCTCTTAGTGTCAGACTTGAAAAGACAGATACTATCCGTTGCATTAAGTCTTGTCGACCAAATGATGTCAACTGTGTGTTGGATCCTGTCCATACAATTTCACACACTGTCATTTCACTACCCACGTTCAGGGAGTTTACAAGACCTGAAGGTAAGTGGTGTATTCCTTGTTCCATTTAATAGACTACAACATATAAAACCTCCGCCGGAAATCCTTGCCTAAAGCCAGACTAGCTACTGGTGCAGTAAAATGTTTGCACGGTTCCAAATTATAGTGTAGTATTCATTTAATTAAAACCTTCAATATCCAGGAATCTTAATTTTGTGGGAAAAAAAAGTCTGAGCTCTAACTCATACAGCTTCCCAATCTAAGCAAATACTGAGTCTAAATTCTCATTTACCACATGTACTCGTGTAATAGGTGTGTGCTCTACAATTTCTTTCTTCCCTGTTTTGTGGATTTTGCCATTAAAATTAGATACTTTTATGTATTTCTTCTTGTCTGTTGATGGCCACTGTTGGTCAGTGGCTTGTTCCTAGGGTATGGCTGTTCTATACACATAGGCATTGATATAAAACAGGCATTGATATAAAACAGCATGTTTACCAGCAGATATACCATCTGGCACTGTGATTTGCAGATTTTTGACCTATAAAAATAGCATTGTTTCTTAAACATTGAATAAATTTAGGGAAGTTCAACCAAAGATTTTCTAAAGCATCCAGGTAGCTTCTGAGAAGAAGCTCCTTGAAAGCCAGTGGGATTTGCACTCGGAAATCCCAATGTCTGTTCTGCAAGTCTTAAGTCTTGCAGTTTTCATGGAGATCACACTCACTTTTCTTAGTTCACATATAAACTTGCAGATCAAGAGCCAGATTTTGCTCTTTGGCTGTTGTAGTGGTTGCTCACCAGTTTTGCTGGGAATGGCCTACACATCCACAAGTGGAATGATGACCTTCAGCTCTGCATCTGTGTAGGATGAACCATCAGCAATCATCTACTGCGTAAGAAAGATACGGAAAAAGGATAAAGGGAAGGAGGAAAGGAAGATTATTTTGGAGGGAGTTTTACAGATCTCAGATCCCTATTTCTGATCCAGCTTGAGTCTCATTCAGAGAATACTGTCCCAAAATGAAAGCCAAAGCCAATTCTTCCCTACTGTATCAATCACTCTTAAAACCCTTCTGATCAGAAGGAGGGTAGTAAAAGATGTCCTAATACCTGGTCAGCTGCACAGTTCATATAGGAACAATGTAACCACCAATAACTTAGATCCATAAAGCTGTTGTAAATTGCATGAAGCCTCTTCCAGCCCTTAGCTGGCCTCACATCACAGAGAATTGGAGAATGCCCCATAGCCACTTTACTCCCATACACACCCCTTTAGCTCCACCAGGTGTATGTACTGGCAGCAGAGCGATGGATTTGCCCCGAAACGCTTTCCAAACAGTCCATCCTCATGATTTAATAAAACGAGGTGAGACCGAGCGATCTGAGAGTAATACCTGAAACCCAGAAGATGCCCTTAAAGTATAATACAGCAAATAGCCTTGGGTGAATTCTTATGACTCTATGATTTGGTTTCATCTTCTGTACAGTGAGGGTAATAATGAGAGCAATAATATTTAGCTCCCTTACAAGAGGTTTGAAGGTTTGAAAAATGGTCTTGCTTTTCTTGCTCTTTTATTTTTTATTTTTTTTTTAACTTAAAGCACTCCCCCTGTACTTGAAAGAAGTGTGTAATTTATAATGGCCATGCTTTTGTTTCACTGTCTGAGGGAATCATAATTTGAAGGTTGCTCTGTTTAGTCCCCATTCACCTTCCACTCTTTGCAACCTCAGTATTATCCTTTTTAGACACACGGAAAGCTTGGCTGATTTCTAAGAGTGGTGTTTCTGGACTCTAAAATGAATGGTGTTTTGACTGCAAGGCTTCTTAGAGAGTGCAGGAGGAGATAGATCAGAATCCTCACTTCCCCCAGATGTTCTTTCTTTCCGTTTTAAAACCCAAACTGGGGGCAGGGGGAAGTATCCGTTGTCAGCTTTAAGGACAAATTGTTTTACATCAAATTCTATCAGGTTCTTCAGTGATGTTGTCGTTAATTCTTTGCCATTTCATGATATTCTCCATTTGCAGAGATCATTTTTCTTCGTGCCATCACACCTACGTATCCAGCCAATCAGGCAGATATCATATTTGACATAACAGAAGGAAACTTAAGAGATTCCTTTGATATCATCAAGCGTTACATGGATGGTATGACAGTGGGTGAGTAGAGTGCTCTGTGTTCACAGTATACAATTTTGTCTCCGTAATATTGTAGAACAAGGTCAAAGAAATTATCTCAGGTAATTCTTTTAAATCTTGATTTTCAAGCCTGTATTGGCTTAATATTCTCCCTTTCCAGTCAAATGTGCCTCATCTGAACTGGTATCACAGATTTTTCATTCAAAACACCAGAGTCTTCAATGTGAGTTTGTGATTAACACTTTTTAAGATTTGACTTTAATTACATATAGAAATGATGGAGTTCTGCCACTGTAATCAAACCAAATATTAAATCTGGAGGCTAACAGAAAGGAGACTGTAAATTTAATTTGCTATTATTTCTGGTTTAAACATTACGGCATCAATTTCTGTATAATAATCGAACCTTTAAAGCAAGACTGAACTTATTGAAACTGTTATCTCTTTTAATATTAAATGATAAGCTAGTTGAGTTCTAAGCAACTGGCCCTTTCTGTTGAGGGTAAAAGGCATCTGGCAAATGCTGTGGTTTAGAAAAAGCTTGCACAACAGAACAGAACAGAATGGAACAGAAAATACATGTTCAATTTAGGTTCAACGCAGGAGATATGGCAGGGAGTATGCAAGTGTATATGAGTTGTGTGCTAAACACATATCTCGTCACATACCGCAGAGGGGCTGCAACACAGCCTAGGGGTTTTATCTTCTGGGAGGCTCCTTTCAGAGCAGGGTCCTGTTGTGAAGTACAGTGCCTATCATATGCAATGTGGAGTGTATATTGTGCATGCAGTATAGCTGCAGTATAACTGCTGCAGTGGCAGGGAACTATTCTGTGATTCTTATATGAATATTTGAATATGAATATATGAATATGCTAGGGCTAGGACTTTGGAAAGTTGTATTTGCTCTTGACTAATGTTTATTTGTGAAAAATACAGCACTGCCGTTCTGCGTGAACATTTGTGCTTCAGTATGTGAATGTCCGGGTTCTGCTCAGGTTTCTGTGTGTGCTGCTCTGCTTTCCATAAGGTTTTTCTGGCTGACGGGAAAATTCCTTGTGCTTCTTCCATACTGAGATCTTGCGTGCAAGACATATTTAGTGTGAGCTGGTGGTGGCACTGTTGCATTTCAGAAGCCTGAGACTGCTGCGTCAGCTGAGAAAAGCTTTTGTGAGGCACAGATAAAAATGATAAGTCATGAGGTTTATATTTCTTTTTTTTATCAAACTGAACTATACACGTTAGTGCTGAGGAAGAGGGAGAGCCTGTTAAAGGCAGGATTATAAGATTACAGATCTCTGGTATTGACTTGGTTCTTTTAAGAGTATAAATGTTATCAGATGGTGCAGCAGTTACAGTAGTTTGCTTCTCTGGCTGTGTGCTTCCCTCTGTCTGAAAAAGAAAGAATCATAGAATCATAGAATCATAGAATGCTTAGGGTTGGAAGGGACCTCTAGAGATCATCTAGTCCAACCCCCCTGGGATGTGTTTAGAAATGCGACTGGTCAAGACATTCGCCTCAGGGAAGTGTTCCCATTTTGAATAATAGGACTGCATGTCAACGGCTCGTCACTTGGTAAAGGGGGTATATACCTCACAGCATTTGGGAGAGAAAGGATATTTTTACATACCAGGTTGAGAGGATATGATTTATGTCTAACTATATTCCCAGCTCTCCAGAAGAGTTGGGCAACTATTTCTTCACCTCAGTTCCCCCATGTGCAACGTGGAGGCAATAAAACTTGCCTATTACTGTCTTAATTAATTCCTATATGTATAAGTCTTAATTAATTCCTGTATGTAAAAGGACTTTGAGATTAATAGATGGAAGCTGCAAAGCAAACTGCCTGCAGCACAGTTGGAAGAGGAAAACCAAAACAAAAACCCAGCTGATATTACCTGAAGGGACAGAGATTCAGGACAGTATGTTGTAAGAGTAAAATTAGGATTGCAAATAATTCTGCCAGCAGCAGTTTTGTTGCTCTCATACTAACATTGTTCTTCTTTTTATTAAGAATCAGAATGGTAGGTGTTACCAAAAAAGCACTGGGAAGTTTCCAAGATAAATAAATAAGGTGGGATTCCAGCCCAGAGGAGTCCACAGAAAAAGTCCACCTTGGAAATAGAGGGGGAAGGGTTTATTTAGAGGCATCATTTAAAGAGAGCATTAGATAAAGAGGGGAAGGAAGGATAGATTAGTAGACTATGAAGATGGTCTTGTCGGGGGCCTTTCATTAACAAAATGGGTTGCTGTGACGTGAAGAAGAGATGATGCCTTAAGAAGAACCTCTTCCTAAGTTTTGTCTGCATGAATGAAGAGAAACGAGAGACTCTCAAATGTGTAACACTGAAGAGAGTGATAAGATGCAGGTTTCTTTGGCAATGGTTTGTAGAGAAAGAAGAGCTGTTAAAAACAGAGTTACGGTGAGAAAGGGAGGACTTCAGCATGGGTAGAGAATCATGGCTAAGGAGTGTCAGGTCATCAGTTTTAGCCATTATCATTTAAACTGACACTGAGCCATCAAGAAGAGGATGCTGGTGAAACTAAGAAATGAGTAGGATTGGATGGAGAATGACTGATTAGACAGCAGCTGGTTTCTGACTTGCTGATGGAGAGAGAGCAGCTGAGGTTACAGGAGGAGAGGAGAATGTACAGGAGAAGGCTGTGAAGAAGGAAAAAGAAGAAACCAGACGCAGAGGAACAAGCTGCCCCAGGGAACAAGAGAAGATCTCCCAAACAAAATGTAGGAGTAGCCACAAAGGTAGGAGAAGTAAGAGGCAAGAAGAAAACACATATCAAAGAGGAATCAATGAGCAGCAGTAGCAGAAAAGACAAAACAAATGAGCACAGACTCCAGGAACTGGCTGTTTAGTCCTGAAGAAAGCAAGCCCAATGGAATAGAAAGAAAAGTAGCAGTGCAAAGACCTTATGAGATTTACAGACAAGAGAGTTGTGCAGAGTTAGCTCCAGTATTCCCACTCGACTGTATTACAAAAAGATGCCCCACTTTATTCTTTCCTGGTTCAAAGACCTGTTACCTGGTGTGGCTGCAGTTCAAGATGGCATCGAATCCAGAAGATACTCTTAAAAACTGCACATCACTTATTAGCATGGGAGGGAGAAAAACAGAAGTGCAGACCTATCCTTTTTTTTTTTTTTTTTTTAAAAAAAAAGCTTTTATAGACATTTCAGCGCATTCCTGTTTTAACCATCTGTCAGTGAAAAATGAAGAATGCATTTTCAACCTGTACAAAAATGCTCTATTAATGCCTAAGGTATTATCAGGTACTATAAAGCATTTTTCCCCTCAGCTATGCATTCATTACCTTACTTGACTATAATACCACCTTGTTGTCTGGAAAAATTCAGGAAGGTTTTACAACTTCTTAATGCTGCTAAGAGAAGTATTGAGAGGCTGAAATCTTCCACAAAGAATCTAGTACTAACTTCAGCATATATTCTTGTCTATTAAGCAGAACGACAGTATGCTTATTCAAAACATCTTGAGCCAATGAAACTACAAAATTTCAGTCGTACCTATTGAGCTAATCAGGGGTGTTGTGCTGTTGCTTGAATACACTGATTTCAGCAGTTGTTGAAATCAGTTCTGCAGGTAAGTGCTACTGCCCTCCATTGTTACTGTTATATGTAGACATTCATATTTTTCAAGTCTCATATATCTCTTATAAATTGTATTATTTTATGATCTTGCACCTTGCAAACGGATTCAGGAAAATAATTTGTGCCCAGTGTAAACATATCTTGCTATTTGCTGAAGTTGATTATTTCAGGAAATGGAATTTATTGAAACAGTCATCATTTGAATTCTTCAGGTGCTGCTTCTATAGCAAGCATAACACCAACAATCTGAGCTGCATTTCCAAGGATTTCCTTACTGTCTCCATCCTCTCTATTGAGGCTCTTCAGTGGGCAGCGGGCAGTGGTAGTTCATGAAGTTACTTTTGAACCGTTACAGGAAGCAGTTGACCGACTGATGTCCTAACACTGCATTTACTAGTATTCTAGTTTTTAGTATAGTATAATTCTTGGTTAATAGATCCCAGAGGTTGAAGACAAACTTTGGGAAACGTGCCAAAACTAAGCAAAATCAGGTGGCATGAGGGAGTGTGGAATACACAAGGAAGTGTTGATAGCAGGAGGAGACTGGAGGCTTATTTGACCTTTTGGGAAATTCTGTCCTTAGCACACAGCTAGTTCTGCCATTCTCAGTTGTGGTGAAATCTGTTCCCAGTCCATGTGACAAATGTGTGGATGGTTTGATGCTAAACTCAGAGGCACCACATTGCAAAAGATGAGGCCTGGACTCTGTCACCAGGCCCATTCTACAAAACCGGGCAAGTAACTTCACATTTCTCTGTGCTTCTGCTTTCTGCCTTGTTTTTTTCAGCCTCCTTATCTTTGGGCCAGAGGCTGCTGGCTCTCGCTGTACATTTGTTTAGTGTAATGAGATCCTGGGACCGATTTGGGCTTTTTGGCATGCCTGTGCTGCTGAAAGCGTCGGCTTCCTTACCCACTGCTTTTCTGTGGTGAAGCAGAGTCAGGGCATCCAGGAGAGCTCCCCACTTTTCAGGGGTGGCAATTTCAGCCCAGACTCGATCACCCTTTGGGGAACTATTACTCGAAAGCCAGCAACAATGTGAGTATTTCTGAGGGCCACCATATCATTAGCATGAGACTACAATGGTGTCTGGCCACACAAAACTCACACTGTCCCCGCATTCACAGTGAGCACAGAAGAGCCATGACATAATTCAGCAGGTTTTTCGACAGGCTCTTCCAGCCTCATATTAAAGAAGACACAGCCCCTTTCAGCATCTTTGTTGCACTTTCGCCCAGGCTTGCCCCTTTCACAGGAGGAGCCCCCTCACAAAGCTTTTTTTTGAGATTTTTTTTCTCTAAGCCAGGTTGCCCCATGGAAATTAGTAGCTCCACATTTGAGACCAGGGTGCCCAGAAGCTATTTGGTAAACTGGATCCTGGATTTATTGCCTGAACTTGCCC